GCTGTTATATCAATCAACGGTGCCTCTGACTGCCTATCTGCTTTCCTCATTTTATGATATTCTGTAAAAAGTATAACGTTTCATAAAAAACACCATGAGTTCAAGGTGCTACCATCTCAATATGCCTGAGTAGTACTGCTTAACCTGTTTTTCCTTCCACAAAGTCGGGGAGGGGTGCAGGTACAAGAAGGGGACACACATTCTTTACCTTGCCCAAGGTCCACACTCCCAGGAAGATACTTGTGGGTTGATTTGGGTCCGGCCAAAAGATATGTTGAAGTCTTAACCCCTGGCGCCTATGAATGTGACCTTGTTTAGATATAGGCTCTATGCAGATGTAATTAGTTACATTAGGATGAGGTCATACCGGAATAGGACGCTGTCCTTTTAAGAAGAGACAAAGACGCACACAGGTGAGGAGGCCATGTGAAGATGGAGTCAGAAATTGGAGTGATGGTGTGTACAAGCCAAGAACACCAAGGATTGCCTGTAAACACCAGAAGCTAGAAAAGGCAAGGAAAGTTTTCTCCCTTGGAGCCTTCAGAGACAGCAGGGCCTGTGGACACCTTGATTTCTGACCTCTAACCTCCAGAACTGTGAGAGAAAAAACTTCTGTTGTTTGAAGCCGCCTAATTTGTAGTATTTTGTTACAGCAGCCTCAGGAAATGAATAGTTTCTTTACAGAGAAGGGACACAAAGGGCTCATCCCTGCCCTTTGTTCCATTCTCAGTGAGGTAGGTCTTACATCAGAGTGCTGAATCCAGATTGGAGGAAACCCCTGGTCCACTTAGAAAAGACAAGAATAACAGCACTGAGGCAAAGCCACCAAGTAGCTGAAGCTGATCATTGATACCTCTTGTTCAAAGGTAAGCTCTTTTCCCCTTCGCTCTCCCCTCTCTGCTGCCTATCCTGGATGCTCCCCTCAAGGGAAGCTCTCTTGAGCATTATGGTATCACGGTGACACTTCTCCCTGTCTCCTTCATCTCTCTCAAGGTGGTAAGGACCCAGAGCTATCACAGGTGACCCTGCTCTCCTGTGTCATCATATCTCAGTGCCTCTGTCCACCCTCTTCCACTTCCCTGGAGTTTCTGGCCTGCCCCCTAACACACACACACACACACACACACACACAACCGTTTTCAGTATCTTGGTCTCAGCAAGGCTAAGCTCTCTGTGCCTCACAATTGGTTCCTGAGACACAAGTTCATACTTTTGGAGAAAGTAGAGTATTCATGGTTAAGCGCAAGGGCTTTGGAACTAGGATGACTTGAGTTGAAATTTTGCTTTGGATGCAAATTGTGTGACATCTTTGAGACTCATTCTTCTCCTTTGTAAAATGGTTATCAATTCCCATTTTAGAGTGCAGGTGGAATGATTAAATGAGATGCTATCTGCACAGACGGGCCTGATTTACAATAAGCAACAAATGCATGGAAGTGATTATTGATGTTTTGTGCTAATGGGAAGTTTAGACAAAATATTCCCTTCCTTCTGCTCCTCTCCCTCTACCTAATCCTATCTTTTCTACCTGGTAAAATAACTCGACTTCTAGAGGCAATGCCTTCTATTTTGATGCCTATCATCCAAAAGTAGGGATTCTGTTTGTCAAATTCCAGCCTAGGGAGCATTCCGGTGAACGGGCAAGAGCTAAGACTAAGCGCCAGGAGGTCTAGACTCTGATTCCCGCTCTGCTGCTGTTAAAATATTGGGCAATTTTGAGCAATTCATTGCCCCTCGAGAGCCATCAATTTCTTCTTTAAAAGGAAGAGTTGGGATAAGATGGGCTTTTAGGTTCCTTACAGTGCTGCTAGGTTTCTATGTGAAATGATTCTACATGGATTTTATATGAAGGGGTGCTCCTCTGAGTGAATTCTTGTATCTATACTTAAGAATCTTGGCTGGTACCTGCTCTTTCTGAGACACTAACAGTGTACCTTGCTCTTGGTGTCTCACCGTTTTTCACCTGTAAAGCGGTAGCTGAAGGTGCACTCCGGCGTTGTCATCCTGGGTTTGGACTTCAGCACCACCACTAGACCTTGCCATCATCCATCTGTCAATTTGTCACACTGTGGTGGCTCCTGGGTTGCTATGATGCTGGAAGCTATGCCACTGATGTTTCAAATACCAGCAGACTAAAAACAAAGACCTGGCGATTTACTCCTGAAGATCGGCCAATGAAAACCTTATGATCACAACAGAACATTGTCTAGCCTGCTTGCTTTGGACACGTCATCAGGAGAGATCAGTCGCTGGAGGAGGACATCATGTTTGGTGAAGCAGAGGGCCAGCGAGGGCACGGGAGACCCTCCGGTGAGATGGATTGGCACAGTAACCACATGATGGACTCAAACATGCTGGCAATTGTGAGGATGGTGCAGAACTGGGCAACTTTTTGTTCTGTTATACATAAGATCACCATGAGTCACAGTCGATTTAATGGCAGCTCACAACAACTATAACAGCAACTGGACTTGGGCCAGTTATTAAACCTCTTTGAGCCGCAGTCATCTGTCAAATGGGGAGAGACAGAAGATAGATATGAGGACGAAAAGAGACAACACTTAGAAAATACAATCCAAAGGTTGTAGTGTTTTTTGTCTCTAACTTAACCAACTTATTTCAGAATATCTTTCCTTGTGGACTATAAATAGCCTGTTCCTCAAAATGCTCTTGAACCTGCCTCACCATCTTACTAGTTCTCTCATTAATCAATGAGTTGAATAAGATGTTTGACACGTGTTTCATTCTATATTTGTAGGAGAGTCATGTTGGTAACTTTTAGGAAATTATTCTTTGACAAGTTCTAACTGCCTTAAGACACGTTCCTCCATAGATTGCCATTGGCAAAGCTTGCTCTGCTGGAAATGCCGATTAAGGTGCTGAAAAAAAACCAAAAACACACTGGGTTTGCATTTTTGTCCTTCTCGGCCCCTCTTTCCTACCTCAGTTTGCTTGAGCCAGGCCCTATGGGGGCGAGGGTGGGGAAGAATCTGGACAAAGAAATAAGCAAGCAAGATGAGCCTAGCAGAAAGAGACTCTTTCATTGTGGCCTTTACATTTATGACTAGCAAGATAAAGAAGGAAGGTAATTCTGAAAGCTTTATGTCAGTTTTAACGGTCCCTCAAGCATTGAGAAAAATAATAGTCAATGGATGGTGTCCATAAGGATTTTCTCCCTTCTCCCCTGACAGCCATTGATAGGATCATTTTGTACTTGCGACTGCCGTCACTGAAGCATGGAGGAAAGGCCCTGTAAGGCCAGTCGGATGAAGGCAACTTCCCTACAAGGATCTCTACTGCTGTCACTATGGCAATAATAGTTATTATGATTTTTATTCTGCTTTTCTATAGAGTGTCTACTTGGTGGAGCTTAAGGCTATGGGATTTGGGTCACATAAAATCACAACAGCATAAAATCATGCTTTGCAATCTTGCAAGGGTATTTCATAACGCTGCAAAGAGAACCTATGCACCAAGATAGAAATAAATACCAGTGCAGGTCACTGGACTAATACAATTATTTATGGGATGCTAATAGCTTTTCAGAGGCTTCAGAGCCAGTGTTGATTTGACAAGGGATTTTTTCCCTCTCTTTTTGGACTGTTAAGACTATTGTCAGTCCCCACCTCCCCAACCCCCCAAGGACATGGCTTAACATTACAGTGGGGAAAATGTAAATTAATTGCAAATCAGCTCTCAGTACTCTGGTAGCAAACAAAACCCTGTGCCGCGGGGTCCATTCCAACCCATAGTGACCCTATCGGGCAGAGTAGAACGGCCCCACAGGGTTTCCAAGGCTGTAATCTTTACAGAAGCAGACTGCCACATCTTTCTCCCAGGAGCTGCTGGTGAATTCAAACTGCCAACCTTTTGGTTAGCAGCCGAGTGCTTTAACCGCTGTGCCACCAGGGCTCCTTAGTAGTCTGGTTGTTGTTTTTAGGTGCCACAGAGTCGGTTCTGGCTCACAGCGACCCCATGTACAACCGAATGCAACATTGCCCGGTCCTGCACCATCCTCACAATGGTTGCTATCTTTGAGCCCACTGTTGCAGCCACTGTATCAATTCATCTCGTTAAGAGTCTTCCTCTTTTTCACCAACCCGCTACTTCACCAAGCATGATGTCCTTCTCCAGGGACTGGTGCCTCCTGATAACATGTCCAAAGTAGTTAGAGCAAATCTTGCCATCCTCACTTCTAAGGAGCATTCTGGCTGTACTTCTTCCAAAACAGATTTGTTGGTTCTTCTGGCAGTCCATGGATGCAACAGTCTTCGCCAACACCATAATTCAAAGCATCAATTCTTCTTTTGTCTTCGTTTTTCACTGTCCAGCTTTCACATGCACAACGCGATTGAAAATACCATGGCTTGAGTCAGGCACAACTTAGTCCTCAAAGTGACACCTTTGCTTTTTAACACTTTAATTAAACCCGTTGCCATCGATTGATTCCGACTCATACATGTTAATTATGCAGGTCTTTTGCAGCAGATCTGGCCAATGTACTCTGGTAGTTTCTCTTTATTATTTGCAATTAAATTGTAAGGGCAGGAACCCCACCTCCCATTGCATGTATGCACGCCCTCGGCCCCTAACATGCGCTCTGCATAGAGTGGCACCCCAGAACGTGTTGTGAGCTTTCGCACTGGCGGATCAGAGGCATCACACCCTTCCAAAGCAAGCCCTTCGAGCAGGCGACGGCCCAGGAGGCGCACGTGAGACTCGGGGTGGATGAAACGCCTCTACCAAGGGCCTCGAGGCGGGGAGAGAACAGACGGGACAGAAAGAACTGGGGTGTGGAGAAAGAGGTAAAAAAGAGAAACAGGAACAAAAAGAGACAAAGCCCGCGACAGACTGGGTTAAAAAGAGAAAAACAGCGGCAGCACACAGCTAGCCAGGCGCAGACGGACGGGACGACACGCCGAGGGCTGCGACTACAGCCCCCAAAACCCTTTGCGCGCCGCCTCCAGGCGTCCGTCTCCTAGGCAACCCCAGTAAACAAGATGGCGGCCTCCGGGAGCGGTCCCCAGGGAGGCGTGAGGACTTCACCATCTGAGGCGCGGTCGATCTCGCTGCACTCCGAGAATGAGCGTCAGTGTTTCTCTGCTACTTTCCCCATGGGGCAGAGGCCGAAAAATGCTTTCCACAAAACCTCCTCCTACCTGCTCCGCCAGCTCATTCACCGCTATCGGAGGCTGGACGCAGAAGAAGTCGGGGACGAGATCGAGGACGAAGACCAGGACGTGGTCGGGGACGAGGACGAAGAGGAGGACGCGGAACAGGCCGAAGTGGAATCCGAGGAGTCCTCAGAGTCCGAAATGCTGAATTCGGAGGTGTGCCGTCCCCCCACCCCTCACACCCTCGCTGTCTCCTTCAGCCGTCGGGCCTGCTAATTACTTCAGCGGCGGCCCCGGACCCACCCTCTCCTTCCCAGCTCTCACCTCCAGGAGCACGTCTTCCCGACAGCTCGGTGGCTTCCCCTCTTTGTTTCGCATTTCTGTTACTCTTGTTTCCTCACCGCCTGCCTGAAGTGTCTCCGAATACCTTTTTTCTTCATTAGCATGTTTCAGTTTCTTGCGCTACACTCGGGGTCGTTAAGAAAAAGTATCTTCATGTGTCTATGACAGTTATGGCTTTAACTTTTTGAAAATTATGCCGTTGGCAACCCAAGCACCTGTCTCCCAGGAGTTTGAAGTACTCCAACACTCTCCCAGTCTAGTCCCTTCACTCTCCTTCCTCCAACCCAAGCAACCAAACCCATTGCCGTGGAGTCGATTGGGACTTCGAGCGACCCTACAGGACAGAGTAGAACTGCCCCATGGGATTTCCAAGGCGGTGGGGCGGAGGGTTAGGAGCCCTGGTGGCGCAGTGGTTAAGCCCTGGGCTGCTAACCGTTCAACCCACCAGCTGCTCTGTGGGAAAAAGTTGTGGCAGTCGCTTCCGTAAAGATTACAACCTTAGAAACCCTATATAAAAAAAAACAAAAACAAAAACTCAAACCCTTTGCCTTCCAGTCGATTCCGACTCATAGCGACCCTATCGGACAGGTAGAACTGCCCCGTAGGGTTTCCAAGGAGCAGCTGGTGAATTCGAACTGCTGACCTTTTGGTTAGCAGCCAAGCTCTTAACCACTGCGGCAGTTCTGCTCTGTCCTATAGGGTCGTTATGAGTCAGAATCGACTCCACGGTTTGGTTTTCTGGTTTGTAATTTTTACTGGAGCAAACTGCCGCATCTCTCAAACCCCTGGGCTTTGCGATTAGCAGCCGAGCGCTTAACCGCTGCGCCACCAGGGCTCCTTCCTTCTCCCAAACCCAAATCAAACCCGCTGCTTCTAGTTGATTCTTACCTATAGCGACCGTATAGGACAGGGTAGAACTTGCCCCATAGGGTTTCCAAGGCTGTAAATCTTTACGGAAGACTGCCACATCTTTCTCCTCAGAGCGGCTGGTGGGTTCAAATCCGCAGTCCTTTCCGTTGGCAACCGAGCACTTTAACCACTGCGCCACCAGGGCTCCTTTCTTTCCCCTAGGGGGTGCAAATTATTCTGTTGAATAGTGTAATAAGTGTTTTTTCAAAGACCAAGTAACTTAAAAGTTTTAACTTATTACTTCTGCCACAGGTATTTGCATTATACAAGCAACTCATACACACACAAACACACACTGAAGGAGCCTTGGAATGTTCAAACAGCCAGCTTGCTGTGAGAGTATTTTAGGATATGGGCAATGTACACTCCCCATCCCTATTTCCTAGTTGGCAGCTTTGTCTTCCACATTCGTACAAATTCCCTCTTTTCTACAATACCTCTTCTAACCATCGCTCGATTTCACTTCTTTCTTACACTTAATATCATCCTGTTCCTTTCTTAGCCCTTTGCGGGTCCTCCTATCGCTTCCACAGTTACTTCTTCTCTTGGCTTCTAATAAATTGTTTGCTTTCTTTCAATAAGCTGTTAGATTTTCCTCTTTGGCTTGGCTGCCAGGAAAACAGAACCAAGTATTTTTCTGAATTTCAATGTTTTCTTTAGGTTAGATTTTTCTCTCCCCTTTCCTTTGACTTTGTAGTATAAATATCTTCAAATTCTTTTCAGAAATAGATGTAATACAGAAACATAGGATGTTTCCAATATCCTCATTCTGCGACATTCTTCTGGTTTCCCCTTTGCATCCTGAGTATTTCCTTTTCCTATCAGCTTTCCTCCTTGAGGCCCAGCTTGTTTCTTTGTTATGCCTGTTCCCTTTCACAAACTTCATTACTTTTCCTCATTTGTCTGATTTCTTTTTCTCCTCCCCCTTCCACTACAATGCCTTCTGTTACTCTGATTCTATCTACCATGAGCCGCTTACTCTCTTTCCCTGCCCAGGTTTCCCTTCTTTGTAATGCCTTTTGGTTCACTTTCAACACTTGACCCATTTTTTTTTCCTACCCTCGACTCCCAATTTTTCTTTCCTCTTCTACCTGCTTCTATATGATTTTGCTTAAGGCTGACCGTAGAAAAGTATTACCTGTTTTGTCTGTCTCTTGCTGGTTTACTTTGCTCCCCCTAATACGTGATTATTCCAAAACTGTAGCGGTGTTTTTGCAACTTCGAGATGTTTGTTTGGTTTCCACCAGCTTCCAACCCAGAGGAATTCACAAACGAATCACCAGTTTACTTTATTATTCTAATTAACGTGTGCTCTTCGTCTATGGGGTTCATTAGTACCATTGTTAATCTGTCTTCAGGATGCCATTAGCAACTCAGAGAAGGGGTTGACTTGAACTAGTTATTTCTTTTTGGCTGGTAGGACGCATGTGGGAAAGCGTCCTTATTTCTCCAATTTAAGTGCTGAATATTAATATGTATTTTGTTTTCTCACATTCTCTTTTGGGTTTTTATAGTATCACATACATTTAATATGCTGAATAAACTGGAAAAAATTAAAAGGCAACATTTGCCCTTTCACGTTCAATGGCTTATTTTCCATATGTTCCATGGATTAAGACTTGTAATGCTATGGTAACAGTGCCCAGTGACTGCTCGTGATGCAGTTAGCCTCAGGTCTCAGAAGCCCTCAGGAATTTGAGGCAGGCAGTACAGACCAGCTATTAAGAGCATCAGATTTGGAATCCAAGATTTGTGTTTGACGCTTGCTTTAGCCTCTCAGGAGTTGTGAGATCTTGAGTGAGTGACTTCACCTCTCAATGTTTCATCTGTAATATGGGCATTATAGTAACACTGATCTCATGGGAGAGTTGTGAGAATTAAATGAGACGCTAGATGTAAAGTGCTTAGCAAAATATACCATACTGTTACTAACAAAAATAATTAAAATTTTGCCTGTGTATAAGGTTGCTATGAGTTGGAATTGACTTGACCACAACGGGTTTGGCTTTCGGTTTATCCACTAACTACAGCCCTGTTATGTAATTTAATTAAGTTAGCTTTCGTTGAACAAACATTCACTGGATGATTGCTGTGTGGAAGGTACTTTTCGAGTACATGGTGCAGAAGTGTCTAGGTCCAAAGACTGATGCATCAAAACCACTCTTTGCCGGTAACTTAATGCGGGTAATAAGGCCTAGTCATGGAGAGTTGTGAGCATCAATTTTCGTAAGAAATTCTAGGTAAAGTTCTTAATATAGTGTCTGATACAGAGCAGGCCCTCAGAAAATTACATATGTAATAGATAATAGCGATAACAATGATGGAAGAAGATGATAATGTGATTGAGGGCATGCATGGTCCCTGCTCTCAAACCGAGATAGAAATGTGTGCAAATCATAGCAATTCGGCATCTGAAGGATCAGATACAGAGTCGTGTGCGGGTGACAACTGGGTTTCAGGGATCGTGGAAGACTTTACAGAAGACTAGACTCTCTCTTGTCTGGGTGGAGAGGTGGTATGTGGGCAGATAACTCATCCTACTGATGAGTTATAGGTGAGAGCAGAAGAAGTCAAGGTCAGAGCTGGATAGTGGTGGGCTCTGTGCTATTGTATTGACTGTGACCTGGAGTCTCTAAGCAGTGGGGAACTGCCCCAGTGATGGGTGGGATTTGATTAGAGGATAGTAAGACTGGAGACAGAGATGTTGCTAGAGGAAACTCTAACAATATCTAAGAGGGAGAGATAAGTCAGAATTAGGCAGTGACAGTGGGAATGGGAAGGAAGCTAGAGATAAAAATATATTTGAAATATTTAAGATAGGGCAAGTTACTAGTTGAATATTAGAAGTCTAGAATGACTGTTAAGTCAATGATGGCATGGTCTTGGGGGAGGTTAAGGCCATTCGTTATAACAGGAACAGGGCAGATGGAAGTGTGCAGTAAGGAGTTGGATATACGGATCTTATGCATCCGGAAATCAGAGGAGGGGGCTTAGAGTAGGAGATCTGAGAATCATCAGCATTGGAGTCTGGGAGACCAACCAGGAAGAGGAGTGAAGAGAAGTTAGGATAGGAGTGGAAAGAAGAGGAGAGAATCTTGAGGGTTACAGTTTTAAGTGGCAGGTAGATGAAGAAGACTCAGGGAACAATACTGGGAAGGAATATTACAAGAAGTAGTGGAACAATAGAAGAGCTCTATGATAGGGAAGCCAAGGAAGAAAGTCTCAAGAACATGGGGATGGGTTAAGTAAGAAGAGTCCTAAGAAGTGCTCATTAGCTTTGGGCTGTTTGAATCACTGGAGACGTGGGACCTTGCAGTTTTCATGATGTGGTAGAGGCAAAAACCTAATCGAAGTGAGCTGAAGAGTGAATTGGAGGTGAAGAAGGGGAAACTGAGGGATAAAAAACAAACAAACAAAACAACTCTGGTGAAGCTTGGTTATTAAGGGAAGCTATAGCGATAGCTAAAGGAACATGCAGAATGAAGAGAGCCTTTTTAGGACAGAAGAGACTCAGATACTTGTATGGCCTGGAGAAGGAGCCAGTGGAGATTGACAGGTTGAAAACACAGGTAAAAGAGGTCAAAACTGATGGTCCCTAAGCAAGGTCCTTGAGGAAACAGAAGGGAGTGGGACTCTGAGGATGGAGAAGGAGCAGTCTTCCTCAGAGACCCGAGTGAGAGGCTGTAGGACAGGTGCAGGACGTTGAGGGGGTGGTGTCAGTTTCTGTTTTGCATCTGGAGGAGAAGAGAAGGGCATCTGCTGTGAGTGAGCATGGGACAGCTTGGGGAGTGTGAGGAAGATCTGGGCTAGCCACGGAGGGTGTTTGGAAGGGAACCAAGAAAGAATAGGAGACTGTCTCACAGCACTGAGGCCCAGCCAGAAGCTGACTTAAGTGGCACCAGGATGCATGGCTTGGGGTCTTCTCCAGCCCACTCAGCAGCTCAGGGGTAGGAATAGCTTCTTTCATTCATTCAACACATGTCTGAGTATCTACCATGTACTAGCCACTGTTTTTCCCATTGTCACTCCATGCTTCAGCCATTTTGAATTCTTCATTGTTCCCCCATGGGGCCGTGCTCTCCTTTGCCTTCTAGATTTTGTACATGTTGCTCCTTTAGCCTGCATCTCCCTTCTCAACTCTCTTCTCTGCCCTTCCCCCTTTTCCCTGCTTGCCAGAATAACTTGCAACTTTGGGTCTTAGCTTAATTGTTCTCTTCTCAGGAAGGCTTGGCTAACCTTCTACTTGAGCCCAGAACTGACATACAACAGGTGCCCTGCCTATAATCAGTATCTCTATCGTAATATTTATCAAACTCCTGAACTTGCTAGTGTACTTGTCAGTCACCCAGACTGAACTAGAAATGTCTGGATAGGCACCATATCCTACTCATACTCCTACCCACTGAGCCTGCATACTGGCTGACATGGACTTGCCATTCTGTAAAGGTTTCCCCCCCAGTGAATGAGGGACATGACACAGTCCCTACCTCAAGGCAGTGGCTCATTGTGCAGGCTGATTGCCAGGTATGGGGTAGTTACCATTAGGGGGCAAGAGATTAGAGACTTAAAGGTAGAGAGAAATTGAAATTGCCATGGGATACCCAATAGGGCAGAAGAATAGTTAGCAGGGAACAGATAGACTCTGAGAAAGGAAAGGAGGAACAGACTGGAGATTTTAAAAAAAAAATGATTTATTTTTGTTGTTGTTGAAAATACACACAGCAGAACGTACACCAATTCAACAATTTCTACACATACAATTCAGTGACATTGATGACATTCTTCAAGTTGTGCAACCATTCTCACTTTCCTTTTCCAAATTGTCCCCCCCATTAAAATAAACTCACTGCCCCCTAAGCTTCATAGTTAACATTTCGAGTTGCTATTGTCAGTTTGATCCTGTATAAATAGTTCTTTAAAACAGAACGATGCTCAAGGCAGACATTCTTTGCTAATTAAGCTAAACTACTGTTCAGTTTTAAGAAGACTTTATCAGATATTTTTGGCTGAAGGTTTAAGGTTTAAAGATTATCTCAGGGCAATAGTTCCGGGGGTTAATCTAGCCTCAGTGGCTCCAGAATTCTGGATTCCATGAGAATTTGAAATTCTGTTCTGCATTTTTCCCCTTTTTGATCAGGATTCTTTTATAGAATCTTTGATCAAAACATTTAGTAATGGTAGCTGGGTATCATCCAGTTCTGGTTTCATGGCAAAGAAGGCAGTTGTTCATGGAGGCAATTAGCCACACATTTTATTTCCTCCTCCTATTCCTGACTTCCCTTCTTCCTCTGTTGCTTAGAGTGGAGATTTTGATGTGACCAAAGGACAAGTTCAGCAGGACTTGGAAAGCTTGAAGGACAGGAGGATATGGGATCAGAGAATGGAGTCCTGGTGTCTGAGGTTTCTAGGGTAGAGAAGTGACCCTTGACAATAACTTAGGTCTACATGCTTACGCCCTCGGTACCAATAGCCTGAGCAGTATTGTTAGTTCCTGAATTAATATAAAAACCAAACCAAACCCATTGCCGTGGAGTCGATTCTGACTCATAGTGACCCTATAGGACAGAGTAGAACTGCCCCACAGGGTTTCCAAGGAGCGCCTGGTGGATTCGGACTGCTGACCTTTCGGTTAGCAGCTGTAGCTCTTAACCACTATGCCACCAGGGTTTCCTGAATTAATATAGAAGACCTGAATTAATATGATGACTAGGTCTAGGGCATAGCCATAGGAGTGGGTGGCTACAGTTGAGTGGACATCAAGTTTAAGGTGTCTGGAGTTAAGGGAGTAGAGGTATGTGTATGTGCAAGCACTGGGAGTAAGGGTGTTGGATGGTGACCCTTACGGATTCTGAATCCACCAAGATAACGGCAGACTTGTGGAGGTTTGAAAACGAACAGAGACCTGAAGGAGAAGGGGATGATACTACCATGTGGCAGGAACCTCAAGGGAGATGTGAGGTGTTTGCTGTGGGGAGTCTGGCTTTGGGGATCTGAGAAAATGCTGACCTTGTGGTCATCTCCTTGTCTATACCTGAGTTGAAGAACGGGCATCTGCCCACTCTAAGTAATGATGCAATGTCTTCATATTTCCGGAGAGGAGGATAGGAGATGTACCAAGTCTGAGGGAGTTTGGGGCTGATCCAAGGAAAAGATATGACCACAAGATACCAATATTGTACAACAAGCTATTTATTGGCGCTGACTCATCGACAGCTGAATGCAAGGGGTGGTCTCCCATAGCAGGCAGTCTTCCAGAGGCAAGTGGTGCAGGAAGCCACCAGGAAGAGAAGTGAGCATGAAAACCCCAGGGAGGAAGTGAGAGGAGCAGGGACTTACCTAGGTCTTGGTGATGTCCTTCTGCAGCAAGGAGGGGAGACCTCTGGGTCAGAGCGCTCTAAGGACAGTAGCATCTTGGGACCCTTATAACTACTTACCTAGGACTTGCAGATGTTGGGGGCAGTTTCGTGGAGTATGTAAAGCAGGCAGGCTCTAAGTGGCTAGAAAATCTACTTATGTGGGCTATTTTTAAAACAATTGGATCTATACCATTTGAGTTTGGTGCTAGCAGGCTTTTTGGGCTAACGGGCCTTAGCTTGCTATAAAGAAATAAACAACCTGGGGCCAAGGCCCAGGCGATCTTTGGCTCCTTTATATACCAGGAGGCGAGCTTCAGAGGTCTAGGTGGAAATGTTTTGGAAGGAAGGTAACACTCCTCCACCTCTATTTCTCCCCAGGCCTTACATGAGAAACTGGACCTTCACTTAGAACAATAAATATCTTTCTCCCATTTCGTGAAAGCAACAGGTTCATTGGTATGGATGAGTGAAACACTGAAATGTGGGATTTCTGACTTCATTCATTAGTGGTCACAACTGACATTTGTTGGCAACACTTGCTGTGTATGTTCCCGACCCTGGTGCTAAGAGCTTTAGATGCATTATATTTTTCATCCTCCCTAGAACATTGAAAGAGGTAATAACATTCCTGAGCCTCGGACAAAACTTGACTCACCCAAAGTCGCACAACCAAGATGACAGAGCTGGTGCTCAAATCAGGCCTGCCCAACCCCAGAGCCCACAAGCCTCCTCTCTAAGCCATATGCTTCCCTGGCTTAGTGGACGTTTTTGGGGGAAGAACATCTTGACAATTGCATAGGTCTACATGCTTATGCCCCTAGGACCAACAGTCTGAGCAGCATTGTTAGTTCCTGAATTAATACAGAAGACCTGAAAAATTTTTTTTTTTTTTTAACAGCTGTAGTCCATATGCTAGGCATGGTTGGTTATATTGGAGTGACTGATGTAATTGTTCTATTTTGTGTCAGTGTTAATATGTTGGTCGTTTTGGAGTTGAAGGCAGCATAGATGTAGCACTGACCCACCTGTCATGTCTTCTATCTGCATTCTTGGGGAAAGGTCATGTCCACTCGTCCATGGACTGTCTATAGACCAAGGATTATTCTTCTGTTGAAACAATGATCACCCTTTTAACAAATCTTCTAAATTACATGAATCCAACAAAATTAGCCAGTAGGAAGTGAACCAAGGATCTGTTTTCTCCATTAAGAATATCGGAATTAGAGAAGCAATTGCCTCAATTTGATGTAATCATCCTTTGGGTGTGGGCAAGCAGTCAAGTGTAGTGGTTAGGAGGATTGTCCCGGAGTCAGGCAGGTTCGTGTTGGTATTCCAGCTCTGCCACACACTAGGCTATGTGGTTTCAGACAAGCTGATCTTGCAGAGCCTTAGTTTCTCCATCCGTAAAGTAGAGATAACGGTACTTACCCGAGGGTTGTAGGATTAAATGAGTTGATCCTTCAAAAGCTTCCATGCCTGGAACGAAGAAGCACTCAGTCAATTAACACCAATATTTCCACTGCTACTATGTGCATTCAACCTTGAAAACCTAATGCAAGTGACCACCTGAAAATTCAATGTCAATAAAAAAATTGATTCTATAGGTATTTATTTAATTATACATGATATACGTGTGTCCTGAAGGCAGAATTTTCTTTGGGGCTGATAAATTTTGGTGGTGTTGTTAGTTGCCATAAGGGTTCGGCTACTGGATATGTAATACACTGAGTAAGTGTTGGATTGGACTAGGTGGGTTGCTTCTTTTTCTAATGGAAGTCCTTTCTTTCTCCACCTCCCTGTTTTTTTGCAGGAGGAATTTGATGGGGTCCTGAGAGAGGAGATGGTGGCTCAGGCACTGCACAAACTGGGGCGCTCCGGCTGTGGAACTGGGCAGGTCTACCTCAATCTAACATTATCAGTGAGTATAACAAAATGGCCATTGGGCTGGCGACGTCTTGACACTGGCTGGGCCATATCTGTTTGCTCTGGGGCCCATAGCTTTTATGATGCCCCCAAATCTCAGAGCCTTGCATTTGATGGAAATGGGTGATAAGAGTTATTTATGTAAAATGTTGAATTTCAAAGAGCCCTGGCCAATCCAGTAAACGGTCCCTAAATTCCTTTGTTTTGATTCCTTCCACACTCTTTTTCTTTCATCTGAAGTAGTCTATATTATAGTAATCAATTCTTTCTTTCCAGAAGGTTGAATTTGATTCTGTAAAAGCAATCAAAAGCCCTTTAAGAGTTTTGTCTCTGATCAGTGAAAGAAGGACTAAAATTCATATCTGAATCCAAGGGAACAAAGTATTTTGGTATTGACTTTTTTCCCTGTAAGTATATCAAGAAACAGCCGTGAGCTACATCTCATTTTCCAAAAGACACCTCTTATTAGAGAAAAACAATCTATCGCTATTCACCAGTTTTCAAGATTTCCATATTAGCCATAGTGTAGCACAGAACCGTGCCTCGGATTTTTACCATAAGAGAAGGTACAAGAGCAGAATTTTCCGGGTACTTCACCCTTTTCCCTCATTTTGTTTGCCTATAGTCCTAGAAAAATTTAACTCTCTTTGTTTCTTTTTATTGTAAAAAGTTAAATATTACTTGGAGATCGACAGAATAAATGCAGATTAGGTAAAAAGCACCTCCAAATTTTGCTCTAGCGCCATAATTTGGCTGTTGTTGCTTAGTTGTTGTCAAGTCAATTCCAACTCATGGTGCCCTGTGTGTGCTGAGTAGAACTGCTCCGTAGGGTTTCCAAGCCCATGACCTTTCGGAAGCAGATCTCCAGGCCTGTCTTCTGAGGTGCCTCTGGGTGGGTTCGAACCACCAACCTTTCAGCTAGCGGTCGACCACTTAACTGTTTTCGCCACCCAGGGAGTAAAATTCACTGCAAGGCTGTTCTGACTTGGGTCTGAATTAGTAAACTACCCAAGAAATATTAACCTCTTTTCACTCATGCTGGTTCCAGGCTTGTCCTCTGAGGACAGCATATTAAGGCTCTTATCTTCTACTCTTTTCACTTCATAATGCTTTATGGGTGACTCAGCTGGGCAGGCTATCACATACAGAGATTTCCCTGTGTGCATTGCTCTATGTAGGCATCGAAATGGTATAAAATCCCAGCAACCAATATACACCACACAGTCCCTTTCAATCAATATTCTACTTATGTACGTGGAGTGCCATGCCTTAAATTGATCTATAGAAAAAGCAATCCTTTAAATCTTATTTCAGCTAGATGGGCCAAAGCTTAATTTATTTTGCCACTGACCTTCCATTTGAGATATTCCATGTTGAATTACTTTGCCTTAGTAACCCATCACACTGAATACACTCTTTTAGGATTTCCTGGTCCGGTGATTTCTTCTTTATATCTTACTTACGTTACGCATTATTTTTGACTTTCTCTTTTTACTTGTGTACATATCTTCTCTCCTACCAAAGTCCTAAGTTTCCTAAGGACAAAATACAGATCTATTTCATCACTGCATTCCTTATCATGCCAAGCACAATGCCCTGCACTTAATTTTTATTGATTATTGTCCCAGCAGCCTTCATTGAACAATTTTATCATGGTTAAGTGCTCGACTACTAACTGAAGGGTTGGTGGTTCAAACCCACCCAGAGGTGCCTCGGAAGACAGTCCTGGTGTTCTGCATTCAAAAGGTCACAACCTTGAAAACCCTACAGAGCAGTTCTACTCTGCACACATGAGGTCACCGTGAGTCGGAACAGACTTCATGACAACTAACAACAACACCCTTGTTATATTATACTCGTGAACTTGGTTGTGAGAGTCTTCTTTGGGTGGCCTTTTCTGACTCTAGCATTGCAACGTAAAGCAGTAACATGAGCCTTTGTCAGGGACCGGGGCGGATTAACCAGTGAACACCGTATGCACGGGCTTCACTGTATGTACTTGCTGATCTGTGGTGAGCAATTTCACATGGGTTTCACCGTGCTTTTGACGTGAGAGCATGATGGAGGACAGGTGACATGGCCCATTGCAGATTGATAGAAAGGCACAGTTGGGCCCATGCGTACCATGCTTACTGGGTAATCGGGCTCTGCCAGGGACCAAATTCCCCTCCAACCCCTCTTGAAATTGACTAGAAGCAGGATTTTGTAGAAAGAATTTTGGACAGGGATTCAGGAGACTTACTTGGATTCTGAATTGGATTCCCTCTATTGTTAACTTGTTATGTGCTTTTAGGCTATTTACATACCTCTGCCCCTCACATTCCTCATCTCTAAATTGGAAATAATCTGCCTTTCTGCTCTCACAGGTTTATTTGATCAAATGAGATTATTGTGAAAGAGCTTTGAAAAATTAACACTGAAAGTGTAGGTGGTGCTGTTGTTAATGGTCTCATGGTTACGTGAGAACTCTCTAAAATTTAATTTAAAATCTAGGCATTTGCTTTTTCTTTTCTTCTACTAGATAAAGGCTTCATTGCTATGTACATATATATATTTTAATACAAAATTCTGCTCTAACGTTCTCATGAACACGCTTTAATTTGGCACGAGTATTCGTATTTGTTAACAACACTAATTTCCTAAGCTGTTATTTTCTACAGAGGACTGCATTTTTTGATGGCGTTTGTCAACTGTTTTGAGTTCCTTTTAGTGATAGACTTCAGAGTCTGTCTGTTCACTTCTACTACACTTTTGAAAGAAATTCTGAATTTCTTTCTGTCAACTGTTCGTTTCTGGAAGTTGCAAGAAGGTTGAGTAGTGATACCTGTTAAAGCAAGATTATAGTCTTTCCCTTTTATTTTCTCAGGGTTGCGATTTAATTGACATTAGCATTCTCTGTGGATATGTTCACGTACAGAAGTTGGATCTTTCAGTAAATAAAATTGAAGGTATGTAATTGCCATTCTAGTAAATTGATGGGTCACAGAATTACTTCAAAATTTAAACTGTGCAGCATGTAATATAGTTTTAATACCGAAAAACTTGATGTGATAATGTGAATCAATTTACATATGACTTTGCTTTTGATGAAAAAAGCCACCAACGCCTGAAGAGTAAAGAGAAAGGCACAAGTTTGCAAATATGCGATATTACGAGGTGGCTGAGAGGTATTCAGGGATATTTAAGAGTATCAGATGGAATACTTATTTTCTCCTTTTAAGAGATTGATCATTATTTCTTCAATACTTCCTGGTGGGTTAATGGTTCCCTCCTCTTTTCACTACTTCCATTAGCTATTTAAGGAGTCCCTGGGTGGTGCAAATGGTTAAACACTGGGCTACTAACTGAAAGGTTGGCTGTTGGAACCCATCCAGAGGTGCCCTGGAAGAAAGGTGTGGCGATCTGTTTCGGAAAGGTCACAGCCATGAAAACTCTATGGAGTAGTTCTACTCTGCACACATGGGGTCTCTGTGAGTTGGAATTGACTTGACTGGTTGGTTTTGTTTGTTTTTTAATTAGTTATTTAGTGCAGATGAATTAGTCCTTTCTCCCCCCCACCCGCCTTTAGTGATTTTTTCTTTGCTTTGCTTTTATATCTACATTTGAATTCTGGCTAGCTGCTTCTCTTCTTCTTATTCAAGCACCAGGGATTCCCAAATTTATTTTTTCCCTTCGTTTTGCTTTCTCTGTCTAGTTAATTCTTTCCATTCTAATGCCACCATTTGTGGTTGTATATATTTGTTATGACAGCTGTTCACATTTAATGAAATTAGTCCTACAATTGTCACATTTTCTTCAAAGCTTGATCCTTGTTCCTGATTTTCAGAACTTATTTCAGGTTAACGGCATATTTTTTCTTTAGACTTTGGGGAGGGGAAGTGAATCGTTATTTCTGACCTGCTTTCTTCACCAATAATCTTTCTATTTGCTTCTCTCACCTGTCTTTTTTTCCTTGACAAATGTTGCTCATATGGTCTTTTCTGTTTCATTTTATGATTTTTTTTCCTATCATATGACTCCAATAGTTAAAATCTCCTCTCTTCAACGATTAAGACACATTCTAGCATATTTTAATTCTTAAAATGCTACTACCAATTTTGAAAGACTTTTATTTTGTTCTCTACTTTGATAAAACTTTATTACAGAAAGTTGCAAATACGTGTAGGGGTAGAGGGAACAGTGAGCTGGTCACTTAGCTTCAACAGTGGTCAGCACGTGGGTAATCTTCTTTCCTCTCTGCCCTCCTCCGTCTCCTTCCCCAGGGTCATTTGAAAGCAAATCCTGGCTATATCATCAGAATGACGTTTTAGTGTTGTCCGCAGGCACTCTCTGTGCCCCTCCCCCTAGCACACATCAGGGCTGCTTTCATTTCCTGGATAAGGAGCTGCAGAGTGGTGGAAGGCTTTAGCAGCGCATAGTGCTAGGAATCCTGGGTGGTGCAAGCTTGCTTGGCAGCTAACCAAAAGACTGTTGAGTCCAGTCCACCCAGGGGTGCTGCGGAAGAAAGGCCTGGCAATCTATGTGAAAAATCAGCCATTGAAAACCCTATGGAGCACAGCTGTACTCTGATATATATGGGGTCACCGTGAGTCACAGTCCACTTGATGGCAACTGGCAACTAGAGAATAGATAAAAGAGATTTGCCTTGGTACCTTCCTACCTGAGCAGAAGTCCACAGCTGCGATGCCTTCTTTTTCAGTCGGAGGAGTCTTCTTTAACGTTTCATGGGCCATTTCATTAGTTCCTCCTGTGCTGGAGAGCCTACTGTGTGTACGGCACTCTGTATTTTTCTTTTTGTGTTGGCAGCCGGTGTTCGGATGTAGACCAGACTTCAACTCCGTCAGAATCACCTGGAGGTGGGAGAGGCAGGGAGGGAAAGACACTAACTGGACAAGAGATGAGTGGTGACTTTTGTGAAGGGATAGACAGCACACAATACTGAGGAAGTCAGCACAAGTTGACCAAGACAAAGTCATAGACGCTTCATGGACGCATCCAAACTCCCCAAAGGACTGAATTACTGGGCTGAGGGCTGGGGACCATGGTCTCGGGGCACATCTAGCTCAACTGGCATAACATAGTTTATAATGAAAATGTTCTGCATCCTACTTTGGTGAGTAGAGTCTGGTGTCTTAAAAGCTTGTGAGTGGCCATCTAAGATACTCCACTAGTCCCACCCTGTCTGGAGCAAAGGAGAACAAAGAAAACCAGAGACACGAGGGAAAGATTAGTCTAATGGACCACAACTACCACAGCCTCCACCAGACTGAGTCCAGCACAACTAGATGGTGCCTGGCTACCACCACCGACTGTTCTGACAGGGATCGCAATAGAGAGTCCTGGACAGAGCTGGAGAAAAATGTAGAACAAAATTCAAACTCACACACAGAAAAAAGACCAGACTTACTAGTCTGGCAGAGACTGGAGAAATTTTGAGAGTATGGCCCCCGGGCACCCTTTCAGCTCAGTAATGAAGTCACTCCTGAGGTTCATCCTTCAGCCGAAGATTAGACAGGCCCATAAAACAAAACAAGACTAAAGGGGCACAGCAGCCCAGGGGCAAGGACAAGAAGGCAGGAGGGGACAGGAAAGCTGGAAATGGGGAACCCAAGGTTGAGAAGGGAGAGTGTTGACGCGAACCAATGTCACAAAACAGTATGTGTATTAATTGTTTAATGAGAAACTAATCTGCTCTGTAAAGCTTAATCTAAAACACAATCAAAAAAAAAAGAAAATAAATCTAAAAAAAAAAAAAAGAATCACTTGAAGGGCCTGTTAAAATACAGATTACTGGGCCCCGCCCTTAGAACTTCTGATTCAGGAGGCCTGGGCTGGGCCCTGAGAACTTGCATTTTGAGTAAGTTTACAGTAGTGAGGTTAATGGTTCTGGTCCTTGACTGCCCTTTGAGAGCCACTGCCGCAGACACGAAGTGCTCCTGCCATCTGGTGGACACAGCGGTCACTGCACTGAGTAAGGAATGCATGGGTCTGCTAAGTTAGAAGCCCAGTGTCCTGACCCATGAATTTTTTGCTGTCAGAATGATTGAAAAGCGTTGGCTATCTACAAAGTGTGAAATGCATCCCTCATCTCTTTGTGTCTAAGTACTGGCTCCTACAAGACAGAGCTCCACTGTACCGGACTTATCTGCCCAAAGAAAGGCCAGCTCCAGCCACGACTAACAGACACTCTAGCTGAGCTCAGAGTTGGCAAATAGACAAAGATTGTAAAGCAATTTCAGTTTCTCCTTAGCTTTCCTTTTGTCCTGCCTTCTTCACTCCCTCATTAATTCCCACCAAGGTGTTAACGACTCAATGTATGACCCCTCCTAGAATTATTTACATCCACTGAAGAAGAATGTAGGAGTCCCTGGGAGGTGTACATGGTTTTGCGCTGGACTACTAGCCGAAAGGTTGGTGGTTCAAAGCCACCCACAGGTGCCTCGGAAGACAGGCCTGGCCATCTTCTTCTGAAAGGTCCCAGCCTTCAAAACCCTATGGAGCCCAGTTCTACTCTGAAACACATGGGGTCGCCGTGAGTCAGAATTGACTGGACGGCACCTAACAACAACAACAAAGAAGGGTTTGGAGTCCCTGGGTGATGCAGACGCACTCGGCTGCTCACCAGAAGGTTCGAGTCCATCCACAGGTGCCTCAGAAGAAAGGCTTGGCAATCTACTGCTGAAAAATCTGCCACTGAAAACCCTATGGAGCAGACACACATGGGGCTGCCATGAGTCAGGGTGAAGGGTATAATTTAATCTGGGGAAATGAAGTACAAATTGGTGGGGAATTTCTGGCTTCAGTGACCCTTGAGGGAAAGATGCAGAGAGGCCCTCACATTGGCTGCACCGCCCACCCCACTCCAGGGCGAGTCCAACCTTCCTTTCTTCTCCTGGTCCAACCATGCCTGGTCACCTGGTGAAGTGTGGAGGCTCCATTCTCCCCCTGGGGACCAGCTTCTGAGGGACTGTGATAGCTGGTTCTCTCATCTAGAGCGAAAAGGAAGACATTGTTATTACCCTTTTCTGGTGGAGAACCAAGTTTCTGGTAGAGCCAGCTGCAACCCGGTCATGCAGCTCCTCCTGATCCTTCTCTTAATTCATACTGCTGCCAGGAAGTATGCCTGCTGTAGAATGGCAGAGAGAGGCAAAATAATATTTGACAATTGTTATGTTCATTATGTAATTTCATTCTCAATAGCCTTTATTAGTGCAATAATCCTTTTCTTAGTATTCAAATTTCAGGATATTTTCTCAGGTTAAAATGTAAAACTCATGTATTTTTAAACCAATCCAGACTCAAAGCAAAATAATACAATGTTTTCCATCACTTCAAATCATTAATGAGATTTAGGATTAAGTCAAATTAAAACAAAATCTCATTCACAACAAAGAGAGCTCTCTAATGGTGGTATTTCCAGCCTTCCTGAAAAGACATAATTCCATTATTTAGGAGCTAATTATCAGGAGGATTATCTAAGGCTTTAGTTTCTCATCCTTTCCTCCGACGCTGGCACTTTTTGAAGCATTTGATGTGAACAGCAGCTTGGGGGACAGTGAGCTGGGACGCAGAGGTGGCCTCAGCCATTTGTTACTTGAGGGATCTAGACAAAAGCAGTGGGGATGCCTGGGAAGAAAGTTAAGTTTTTGGCTCAAGGAGAGTTTTCCATACTTTTTTTTTTGGTATATTTCACATACTCCTGTTTTTATTCATTTCACTCATCTGCAATATCTAAGATGTGCTTGCATCTGGCCTACTTAAAAGACATTTTGATGTAATCCATGCTGCTTTTAACGACTTCTAGTTTTTAATGTATTGGCTTGCCTTAGTCTATGTGTCTTTTTTCTCCCCCCTCCAGATTTGTGTTGTGTGAGCTGTATGCCTTATCTTCTAGAACTTAATGCTTCTCAAAATAAACTGACCACCTTCTTCAACTTCAAGCCACCCAAAAATCTCAAGGTAGACTATATCAATACACTGATTGCATATACTAAGTGTTTTGCAATAAATAAGCACAGCAGCACTAAAATAGAGAATTCAGAGAGACTCAGGTATAAAGATAAATAGTACTTCAAGTGTCTGAAATGAATAGATGGACTTGTATATCATTTATTTTGGAAAAGTGGGATGGTGTGTCAATGCATAGTATTTTTAGGAAGATGTTCTGAAACGTAGTATTCAAACTCAAGAACCAATTTCCTTCCATCTCCTCTTTCCCTCATTTACACACTAGTTATTATTGTATGTTTTTATTACAGCACAACAATTTCAAATGAGTTTATCATCTGGAAAATCTGCAAAAATCTCTTGTGGGCTCAAATTAGGCCCTCTTTATTTATCTGCCCTTTACTTTTTTTTAGGAAAAAAATTGATTTCAGACCTTTATTCTTGCTTCTCTGCTCTTGCTCTTGCTTTTCCGAGCAGAAAGAAACTGTCCATGAACAGTGGTTGATAGGGCCATTTACTATGGCACAGAGTGGGGGGTCTCACACATTAGTGGGCACATAAGTCACCTGTGGCTCTTGCTAAGTGATAGTGGGGTTGGGTAGGTGTGGGGCGGGACTGGCCTGGGATTGAGATTTCTAACATACTCCCAGGTAATGCCATTGCAGCTGATCCACAGACCACACTTGATGGAAAGGCCATTTCTACACATTGGAATCACCTGGGGAGTTTCTAAACACACTGTCACGTGGGTCTCACCCCCAGAGGTTCTGATTTAGTGGGCCCGAATTAAGTCCCGAAAAGGAACCCTGGTGGTGCAGTGGTTAATCTCTCCACTGCTAACCACAAGGTCAGTGTTTCGACCCCACCAGCCCTCCCTCCGCAGGAAAAAGATGTGGCAGTCTGCTTCTGCAAAGACTACAGCCTTGGAAACCCTATGGGGCAGTTCTACTCTGTCCTTTAGGGTCGCTATGAGTTGGCATTGACTCCCTGGCAATGGGTTCATGGGGGTTAAGTCCCAGGCTTTGGAAGTTTTGAAAGATCCCCAGGTAGTTCTAATGTGACGATGAATGAAAACTAAAGTATGGCATGTTCTTTTTTTTCTCGCCAGAAGGTGGATTTTTCCTACAACCAAATTTCTGAAATGTGTGATCTGTCTGCATACCAGGCTCTCACTAAACTAATTTTGGACAGTATCCTTTGAATGAGTGAGGGGAAAATGTGGTTAATGGAGCCATTGAGGAATATTACCAGATGACATGGAATAATATCAGATAAGCAATTCACTGTAGATACGTGACTCGTTAAATGATTAAGAATTGATAACCCCAAATGAGGAGAGGTATTTTATTTACTAAGGAATAAAACCGCAAGTCAAAGCCTGCCAGGAACGTCTTGTATCGGAACAGCTAAGACAGTCATTCTCCTGATCAATGGGTATTTACTGTTAATTCTAAAATCAGGTAAGAAATTGCATTTTAATTGATTTTAACTCCTTTCTTCAAATTTACTTAAAGCTATGCCCAGTTTTATCTACATTCACCATTGGAAAATCCAGATTTTGTCATAGGAAAACTAGCAATTATTTATTTTACAGAACAGTCCGCACTAATCTCTATTTAAATAGCAAGCTTCTCTGTTGTTATTTGACATGGAGTTTCTCCAGCTCACAGTGACCCCACGTACAACAGAACGAAACGTGGCCTGGTCCTGCGCCATCTTCATGATCACTGGTGTGCTTGAGTCCATTGTTGGAGCCATGGTGTCAGTCTGTCTCATTAAGGCTTGCCCTCGGTTACTCTGGCCCTCCACTTTACCAAACATGATGTTCTTCTCTATCAATTGGTCTTTTCTGATGACATCCAGCACTTTATGGGGGAAATAGTCTGCTGTGATCCATAGGGTTTTCATTGGCTAATTTTTGGAGTTAGATCACCAGCCTTTCTTTATAGTCTGTCTTGGTCTGGAAGCTCTGCTGAAACCTGCCCACCATGGGTGACTCTGTTGGTATTTGAAATACCAGTGGCATAGCTTCCAGCATGAGAGCAACATGCAAGCTACTGCAGTACTAGGACAAACTGACAGACAGGTGGTGGAATCTTCTCTAGTGTGTTTACAATATGCCCACAGCACACACACAAAAAAGTTTGGTTTGTAACGACTTCAGGAACACCTCTATTGCCTGAACCAGGCCCCTGTGCACACAGGGTCTCCTCTCTAGTCAGTGCGCTCCAGCTTCTAGAGCCTAAGGGATTAATTGGGGATTTGTGAGTTTAATGAGCCTGAGTCTTCTTTACACCAGAGACCCATGTTCTCTGGGTGATAAGGTAGCAGCCCTTCTCTTTCTCCGTAAGTATCTTTCTACCACCTAAGGATTTGTGGGGCAGAGTGGAGAATGAATTGATTGCTCCTGGGTGCTTCATTCCAGGGATGTGGCAGCAGCCAGGACACGGCCTTCATGACAGGCTGAGATGTGGGGGAACAGAGACACACTTTCTTGAAGACCTATTTTGTAGAACAAAATTTTATTCATATGTGGTGAAAAGCTTAGAACATATTACCAGTTCCTTCTGAACTCATGTGTGAACGTGAGCAGTTCGTGGACATTTAGACGATGCCCTTCAAATGAGCGAGTTCTTCTGAATGTGGCCCAATAGTTTGGTGTTTTGATGACAAACTAGGAGTGGTACACATTAGCAGCATCTGCCCATAGAGCCTTCATTTTATGGTCCAGTGCCCTGGAGATTGAAGTTGCAGACACAGTCTCACTGCCCAGAAATCCACTCACCCAGCAGTGCCCTCGGACCATCTAGAAGAGGATGAGCATCTCCTGGAACTTCAAGAAATAAATGCAGTTTCTTGGGCTCCCACCCACACCTACTAAATCAGAATCTGCATTTTTAATAAGACCGACCCCTCAGCCAGCGATTTGTCTGCACGTGAAAGCTTGAGAAACCTGGTCTAGAATTCAGCTGACCCGTATGCTCCTTCCTGTGGAAGGGATGGGGCATCTAGTTGGTGGTGGTGGTGGTGGTGGCAGCTGTCAAGTTGCCCGTGACTCATGGTGACCTTACAGATAACAGAATAAACGGTTGCTGCTTCTGAGCCATCTTCACGACCGTTGGTATATCTGAGTGCATTGTTGGGGTTATTGTGTAGGGCTATTGTGTAGTGCCTTCCAACCTAGAGAAGGAGCATCCAGAGCCCCTCGAGGGTACCCTGAAAATGATGGGGCACTCACAGTCTGAAGTTCAGTGTGGGGAGCTCTGTCTCTCAGACAAATATCCTTCTGTGCACAGCATGGAATTGCCGAAGGAAACACACACAGTATTTTGAATTCAGAACAGAGGATACAGTTTAAAACATTTTTCTCAGAAAAGTCATAGTTTCTATATAATTTTGTCTTCCCATGTAAAAAACTAAACTATTATGACTTTGTCCATGTGAAATATCATGAAGAAAGGAAGCAGGATTTTTTTTTTTTTCTTGACATTAGGTGTAGCAACTGGGTCTTATCTCTGAAGTATAAAAAGCTGTAATTTTTACATCTGAGCCACTGAAACTCAGACATGGCACGTAATTAGAATATAACATGACACTATTTCCTTCCTTGCATTTGAAAAAAAAAACACATGACAAGGAGCCCAAACAAGCTACTCTTCATAAACTATTAATGAAATAAACTTCTCAGATATCTTAAAGTTTTGAAAAGGCAGTAGACTAGTTTCGAAACAGTACCAAATATGCATCTCTTTTGTACTTTTCAAGCGTGTCATATTGTACATGACACAGATGGTGGAGTTTGCAAGTTTTTCTGGACAGCTAAAAGCAAAACTATCTCTGACAAGATTATAAGTTAATTTTGGGGGACAAAAAAAAAAAAAAAACACTAGACTGAGTTGTTTTTTGAGAAGACTAATAAACTTTAATTGAGATGAAAAAGTTAAGTAAATTAGTAGTAGGGAATCTCCTCAACTTGATAACAATGTCTACAAAATTTTTTTTGCAGCCAACTGTATCTAACTGGGGACGTGTTCTAAGCATTCTCCTTTAAAATTAGGGAGAAGACAAGGCCATCCACCTTTGCCACTTTTAGCCATCATTGTTTTGGAGCTTCTAGCCAGCACCAAAAAACAAGAGAAAGAAATTAAAGGTATAAAGATCGATGAGGGAAAAATGAAAGTCATTGTTTGTAGATGACATGATTATCTACAGAGAATATAAAAAAGAACCCGAAAGAAAGTATTCTGGAAATAAACAGAGAAAGTTTAGGCAGTTTAACAAAAAACCAAAAAACCCCGTTGCTGTTGAGTGAATTACGACTCATCAATAAACAGAAATCAATTACATTTCTCTACACCAGGAAGCAATTAGAAAACGCAACTTTAAAAAGAGTTACCATTTATAACAACACCAAAAATTAATCTTCTTAAAGATGAGTAAGACTGTGGGGGAACATCTTAAACTTTATTGAAGGGCATTAAAGATCTACCTAAAGAATATACATCCTGTGACCTGGATAAGCAGGTGGGCAAACTACGTGAAAAAGAGTATTATAGAAAACGAAACAGGTAAAGCTAATAAACATACAAAAAAATGCTCAAACTCATTGGTACTCGGCGAAATGCAACTCAGGACCGCTATGAAATACTGTATTGTATCAACTCCATGGACAAAATTTAAGAAATTTAAAAATACCAAGAGTTGGAGGGCATGTAGCTCAAGAGGATAACTTCAGACCTTGCGTGCGGGTGTAAAAGTAGTTCAACCACTTTGGCAAACAATGTTCTATTATCTTGTCAAGCTGAGCATCTTCTTCCCTATGACCCGGCCCCTTCATTCCTGCATATGGGGAAGGTTTAGCCTATGTGTACCTGGAGGCTTGGATAAGAACGTTCATAGCAGCATTGCTTGGAATAACAAAAAACTGCAACAATCCAAATGCCCACTGAGGAGAGAAAAGGGAAATAAATTATGGTAATAGAACCTCACACAGCAGTGAAAGTGAATACATTACTTTTACATAGAGCAATAAGAATGAATCTTAATAAAACTGGATAATATAGTTTAAGTATATAACTGAAGGGGAAAGAGAAGCAGACAGAGAAAATCCAGGACAGTGGTAATCTCTGAGCGGGGTCACAAGGATGGGACACAGCGCTGTGCAAAGATTTAAGCCATTGTTAATGCTGCAGTTCTTGGCGGGGCGGGGCAGGGCGGGGAGCTGTTTCAAGAGTTTTCATTACACAGGTATCCCCCGCTTTTCAAAAGTTCACCTTATGCCACTTTGCTTTTACGAAAGACCTACATTCGTACCTGTTTTCACTAACCGAAAGAAATTTGAGGATTTTCGCTTTTACAAAGAAAAGCAAAAATAGCGTTCAGCGTTTTGTTTTGTTTTTTAACAGCCAGCCGTTAAAGAAACAGCGCGCACCCTGAGCAGCAAGAGTGGCAGGTAGTGTGGGAGTCACACCCACAAAGACCCCTCCAAACAGGGGCAGACGCTTCGTGTGGAATACCGTGATTCCACCTGTGCAGGGGATAGATTCCGGGTGAAACAGCTCCCATTAGCCCCGGGCGATGGGAGAGTTGTAGGGGGTTAATCAGATGCACAGTTAATATAAATCCCGCTGCTCAACCTAGCGCCACGTGCCGTCGCCAGCTAGGATCCCCGGGCTTCCCTCATTACCATGTCTCAGCCTTTAGTGTGCTCACTATCGTTGCGATTCCGGTAAGTGAAACTACACCGTACATACATTATTGCTACTTCATATAGGCTGTGTATTTATCATATCATTCCTGCTTTTACTATATGTTTGTGTTATTTTAGGTTTTATGTGTTATTAGGTATGATTTGGTAGGTTACTTTTTGGGTCTGGGAACTCTCAAAATTTTTTCCGGTATAAATTAATGGTAATCGCTTCTTCACTTATGCCATTTTGGCTTACGAAAGGTTTCATAGGAACACTCTGCTTTCGGATAGTGGGGGAAACTTCTATTTTAAAAAGTAAATAAGTTGGCCGTGCATGAATCAATGAAGAGTCAGGGATTAAGCTGAACCCAGGTCTATGTACTTGTTTCCATTAAAGACGAAGAAACCTGAATTAACATCTTTGAAATTAGAAATTAGAATTGGAAATTAAGTTTTTGAAAAATGTTGTTTAAAATAAAAGCTAATCAGTTCATTAGGCTACTGATGCCAACAATGCGATTGTGGTAGGTTATATTAAAGCCTCAATGAATCATTAACAACTATAAGATAGTCAATTTTTTAGCTTATCTTACTGTGCTATCTTGTCCGTCCATATGAGGATAACTGATGATTAATTGATAATCATCCTAAACTGCAAGACGATAAACATGGCCAAGGATAAGTAAATTGATTTATTCTTGAGAAAGAATACACGTTATTCTTTATCTATAAACATTGACTACTGTTTATTAGAATTTGTTTTATGATTATAGAATCACAAAATTAAAAAAAAGATTCATAGAATTTTAAATCCAGAGATTATCCAGTGCTAACCATATGACAGAGGAGCCCAAGACTAGGGAAGTTCAGTGACATGCCCCAGATTATTTGGTAAACGTTTATCCTGAGACTCAGCTTGTGAATTCCACTGTTTTTCCCACGCTGCAATTCATTGAGCAATTACCACTTTTATTACGCGGACATTTAAGCTGTATGCATGCACTGTCCCTTAGACAGATTCATTCCTACTGTTGAAAAGCATCTTTCACTGGTGAGGTGATATAGATCTTTCAGGATTGGTTTTGATTAAAGCTATCATTGTGGCTTTCTCCACTAAGAGAATTGTGATGGATTTCTCCTGATTTCTCGGTAACCGTTTCCTATACACCCAAACCATATTTTATGATTGTAGACAAATGAGTAAGAGTGCACACTGAACTAGTGAATAATTCATGTCAAGCCCTGTCAACTACTGACAGCATAGCCAAAATGTAAAAAATATATGGTGGGGCTTTTCCCTAGTTATAAAGTTGTGCTTACGTGCCACAGCATTCCCGCACTCAGCTTCCACACAGATGGAAAATTCCACTGTAAAAGATTTATTCACAAAAGCGGAAAAAATGTTAGCGCTGGAATGCAGTATGATGATTTCGAGTTCTTTTGAGTCTCTCCCGGTAGTGGTCTTTTAAACTTAAAATATACCTAAGAGGATGAACCCACGGGCTAATTCATTGTAATAGTTCAGTGATTTATCAGATTGTATTTCTTCTGATCGAAAAGTCCCAAGACACATGAAAGAATAGTATTAGGAAGAAGGGCAAGCAAAAGTTTGGGAAGGTTCTTAGAATAAGACAATTGAAGATCGGGGGTAAGGGTATTTCTGAAAGCAAACATGAACTCAGGGTTCCATAGGGACCAGTCCTCTTCCTTATTGACTTTTGTCATTGATGGTAGGCACATATGTATCAGCTGTTTGTAGGAGTAATAAAGAGGCAACAGCATTGTGCTATTGTAAAAACTAGCCTAGCCACATTTGGTAGGAGGGATGGCAGTGGTGGTTCAATGGTAGAATTCTCGCCTTTCATGCGGGAGACCCGGGTTCCATTCCCGGTCAATGTACCTCATGTGCAGCCACCACCCATCTGACACTGGAGGCTTGCATGTTGCTATTATGCTGAGCAGGTTTCAGCTGAGCTTCCAGACTAAGACAGACGAGGAAGAAAGGCCTGACAATCTACTTCCAAAAATCAGCCCATGAAAACTCTTTGGATCACAATGGTTCAACTTGTTGTGCATGGGCCATGAACTGGGGGCCTACGCAATGGCAGCTAAGAACAACTACAATGATTAATTGAAAGGAGATAAAGGTGGGTTCAAAGTTGAGTGGAGAAGACTTTGAGAAAAAAAATAGTTTTTCTAGAGTGGATACCAAGAAATAGAATTGCTGTGACATATTTATAATGATAATCAATCTTGCTAAATTGCCTCCAAAGTGGCTATATAATAATGAACGCTCTCACCCAGTAGGATGAAAGTATCTGTTCTTCAGAAGCTGGTACTTTAAAATGTTTACCAAACTGGTGGGTGAAGAATGGCATCTTGTCTTAATTTGCATTCTCCTGACTTCCTGTGAAGCAGAGTGTCTTTTCATATGTTTATTGTTTATTAGCCACTTGGATTTGCTCCTCTGAGAATTGCCTGGATGTATTCTTTGTCCATTTTCTATTGCGTTGTTTGGTCTTTTTTTCTACTGATTTATTGTCATTCTTTATGTATTCTAGATAGTAATCCTTTGTCTACTGTATATATTATATGTTCTCCCAGGCTACTGTTTGTCCTTAGTTGTGTGATTAAAAAGTAATAAAAGAGAAACAATACAAAAATGAGGGCTAGTGGTCATGATGAAATACTTAAAGATGTTGATTTAATATCAACACTGAAAAATAGGAAAGAGTAAAAGTGGAATCCCTGAGTGGGTAGGGTTTAGAAAGGAGTACGGAAGTAGTATGAAGAAAAAAAAAAAGTACTGCCAAGTAAGAAAGTTCTTGGTACATTTGCAAACTATTGAGAAGATTCACATGGCAGAAATGGAGAATTCTCATTGGGTTATAATGAGAGAGAAAGTTGGATGAACAGGTTTTGCTTACAGTGAAGGGCCATAATTGCCAGAGTGAGGAATCTGGAATTCATCCTGTGAGAATGTTAGTTGAAACAAGATAGCCAGCCAACATTTGAAACAGTTCACCTGACCATGATGTGTGGAGTGGAGTTGAGGGCAGGAAGAATAGGCTATTAGAGATACCCATGGTGTTAAGGGAGAACTGTGTTGTCAGAGGAGTGAATGAAAAGGAGGGAAGTAATTAAAAAGATGTTTTATAGCAAAAAAACCAAAAACCCAGGTCTTGGTGATTGATTGGGTGCTCTGAAGTTTACAAGTAGCTGAGAGAATGGTGATGCCATAGTCATGGTGATGCTAGCTGGTTGGGAAAACTGGGCTTTGATGGGGAAATGACATCAAATCCTAGAAATTGGCCACAGAGATTGATGACAGAGAGGTGAGTGGGATTTGTGTCTTTGAGATTACAGTTTTTGATGACTCTCAGGATGAAAGACAGAAGCCAACAAGTTAAAATTTTAGCAATGAATGGAAGCTTAATCAACAGATGAGGAAATTAAGGCAGAATTTAAGCCTCATTTATTTAAAAGGGAGAAGAGAAGCCAATATAGATAGAAAGAAATGGCTGTTCTTCTCCCTAACAGGGTGCTGGCCTTTGAACCACCTATTTGCTATCGATGACATCTTCTGGTCACGAGGATGATGGAGTTTTATGCACGTTGGGTGTCAGCGTGACTGTGGATTCAGAAGTCCTGCCCATGGAAAGCACATGCGTTTCTCATGGAGACCATGAAATAACCAAGGAGGCAACTGGGTGCCACTGTGATATTTCTTTCCACAAAGATTAATGAATCATAATTGAATGTACATGCAACTGAACACACTCAAAATCGATACCTTTTTAAAAGAAATTCATTGTGAGTGATGGTCGTATAATTTAGAAATAAGGATAGTGAGACTTTGTCTTGCTTACTTAGGACATGTCATAAGGAAAGACCAATCCCTAGAAAAGAACCTCATGCTGGGTAAAGCAGAGAAGCAGCAAAAACAAGGGAAAATCTCCATGAGACAGATTGACACAAGAGCAGCAACAATGGGCTCAAACATGCCAACGATCATGAAGATGGCACAGGGCGGGGCATTGTTTCATTCTGTGATACATAAGGTCACCATGGGTCAGAGCCAACTTGACAGCAACTAGTAACAGCAAGAGTGTAACTTATATTTCAAGATTTCGTGTTGATCCTCTCCTGGGCATTTAATATTGCTATGTGTAAGCTGTTTTCTGATTTTTCTAATGATGATTTAGTACTGATTTTTTTTTCCTTCCAAATGCTTTTAGCAACATTTTCCTTAAACACAGTCATGGTATACAGGCAATGAAATAGCAGAAATCAAAGGACTGGAGCTATGCAGTAACCTAACTCACCTTAGCTTGGCCAAAAACAAGATCACAACAATTAATGGCTTAAGCACGTTACCAATCAAAATCCTTTGTCTGGTGAGCCTAACAAAAATGTTATTCTTCACAGAAGTAGTAGTTAATGTTTTGGTAAATGTATGAATTATGATTACTTAGGATTTTTCAAGTTCATAAAGACTTAATTCCTTCAGGAAACGTTATTGTCTTCCATTTTGCTTGCTCCTTTTCCTATCTATATATTTTTGATGTGTGCTATCCATATTTCATGCTAAATTACAATGATTTTCTAATTTGTTCTCCAAAGTCAATATTTTAAAAGATTGACTTTTTACACTGAGAAAGAAAGGTATAATTTTAACGATGATTGAAAAATGCACTTTGCAATGCCTGATCGGTGAAAATAATTTTTAAGCATACTATTTCTTGCTAGTTACACTTTATGGCTTTCAAACGAACCACAAGACATTCTCTGTGCACTGCATTTTGGCAATTCTTTTATATTAATACATGTTAGTCTCCCATTCTAGAAAATCAGAAGTTGGGCTGAGACTAAGTGAACAATTCCCAACAGAAAGTTTACATTTGTTTATTTTTCCCCCAAGCAGAGTTCTTTTCTACAAGCTACATGACATGCTCTGTGATTACGACAATGCAAGTTCAGATCATTTACAAACAAATTCAGCGGGATTACAACGGTCCCAAAGATACATGCAATATTTCTGAAATCACAGTATAGCTCACTAATAAAGAGGCTGATGTCATAGCTGGTGGATTATCCAGCATTCTTTCTCCTTCCTTTCCTCTCCCTCCCACTTACCCCGATGCCTTCATTGTTCTTCATTACATCCATCCCTGGGTAGACAGTGGGGCTTGTCGTTGTTGTGTGCCGTTGAGTCAATTCTGACACATAACGACCTTAGAGGACCCCATAGGGTTTCCCAGGTTGTAATCTTTATGTGGCGAAGTGGTTAAGGGCTACGGCTGCTAACCAAAAGGTCGGCAGTTCAAATCCATCACTGCTCTTTGGAAACACTGTAAGGCAATTTCTACTCTGTCCTATAGGGGCGCTATGAGTTGGAGTCGACTCAACGGCAACAGGTTTGGTTTTGGTTTGAATGTTTATGGAAGCAGATTGCCAGGTCTTTTCTCTTGCAGAGCTGCTGAGTGGGTTCAAACCACCAGCCTTTCGGTTAACAGCCTAGTGCTTAACCTTTGCGCCACCAGGGCTCCTCAGTGAAGCTTAAACCAAAAAACAAAACAAAACCTGTTGCCATCCACTCAATTCTGACTCATAGCTTCCCTACAGGACAGAGTAGAACTGCCCCTGTAGAGTTTCCAAGGAACAGCTGGTAGCTTCGAACATTTTGGTTAGCAGCTGAGCTCTTAACCACTGTGCCCCCAGGGCCTCATAGCTTATTATTAATTTCTTAGATTGAGTATCCCATGGAAAGATGTTGAAACTGTTGTTTGAAATGACATAGGGCTATCTGCAGATTTTTGACAGACACAATATACCGTTCCTGTCTTACTTAACTATAGGTAACTAAACGTTGGCTGTGAGTTAATTTTTCTTTCCATGAACTTTTAGCTCAAATGCTTTTTCTACAGTGAGTGAGGTGAGGGTAGAGTACTGGCTTCCCAGTTCTGATGATGGAACCGAGGCATGGAAAGTTTTAATCAGTTTACCTGAGGTTGTATGTTTTCTGCCCACTGAAGCATGTTAGCAAAGCACAAGTGACAATGAAATGGGTAAGGAGGATTGACGATTTTCAAATTACAAAAGGAAGTAGCCTTTAAAATGCTGATAATATGAAGGATTATTGGCAGCAGGTATTATTCATTTTGTAATTTGTTGGAACTGTTTCCTTTTCTGCACGTACCTTCTCCATGGTGGTCTGTCGATTAACCTTAAGAAGAGCATGTTATGTGGAAAGAGATCTGCAGGTGTGCTGAAGAGAATGAGAATGGACCTCGTTATTAAGAATAATAACACATAGCACTTTTATTTTAGGAGTTTGTTTCAACAGCTCGATAAGTAATCCATGTTGACAGTTCTGTCTTATGTAGCTTTTAGAATAAGCATAACATTCTTAATTTTTCTACAAATGGATTAGGTGGATTGTTCCCACCTCCCGCCCCATTACGCAACACGAACTAGAACATACAGCAGATGCTGTTGTTCATCTTCCTTTAAAATTTTTGAGACTGGGAAGGTCTTGTTTTGCAAATTTTAATAAAATCTATAAAATACAATGATACACAGTCGCTTCAGTTGTTTTAAATACTTTGATTTTTTTAAATTCATGGATTCAGAAAACCAATTACTTTAGTCACTATTCATTTTACAATTTAGAGAAAAATGAAAAATTCATTCTATAAACCAACTGTTAATTCTCTAACATCAAACTTTTACTATAAGTGTAGGGGAAAATGTGGTTCACTCTATGGGCTAGTCTGGCGACCAGCTTCTTAGCAACTAAAGACAATGAAGTTCAAGTTTTAAATTGGTTTTGTCTTGGTCAGATGCACTTGTGTTTTTTCCTCTCAAATTTGCAGATTAAGAATAGTTCTAGTTTCATTTATTTAAGGAAGAAGCTTCTCTCTAAAAGCCCCTCTCCTACCAATCATCGCAAAACAAGCAGGAAGAACCGTTTAAGGAGAAACTGGATAGCTGCATATTGGAGTGATAGATCCGTTTTTCAGCATCGAACAAAGGGTTTGACTAGATGACTCTGGCAATTGAAAAATTCTATGGTTCTGAATGTTTCTCAGTTCTTATTTCTTTTATGACCTCAGGCTATCTAATTAAACTTTTCTATGCCTCACTCTACTCATATTCGTCTACCAGTTTGAAAGCCATCAGAGACACTGTAAAGAAGAATTATAGCCTATCTGACACATCGAAAGCACTTCAACATTCTTTAGGAAGAAGTGTATTGTATATAAAATTGATATGTGGGCATATTTTGGGTAGGACATTGCAATCTTATTTCAATAAGTTATAACCACCATGCCACCAGGGATCCTTAAATTAATATGGATATTGTGTTACGTTCAATGTCGTTTTGTCTTTCCCTTTTCTACTACACTTTGTATAACTTTTTTTTGAACTCTGAACAGTTGGAAATTTGACTTACCTTTGGCAATCAGAGTTATAAGTGTATTTTCTTGTTCGTAATGGAATTTTTCGTATATATATATATACCAAAATAAAGAGAATAGCATAGTGAACCCCCATGTACTATCACCCAGCTTTATTTATCAACATTCTATTAATATATTTTAAAAAGCCATAGAATTATGCTAATGAATACAAGTCTTGCTCATTATAAAAGTAAAATATTATGAAAAATAGGATGAAAATGAGCTCTTGCTATTAAATGGACCTGGAAACATGTACCAGGAAAAATATTATAGATGGAAGAGCAATATTATAATTTAATTTTCTAGTTCTTAAATGGAGCCCTGGCGGTGCTGTGGTTAGGCATTCGGCTGATAACCAAAAGGTCAGCACTTTGAATCCACCAGCTGCTCCTTGGAAACCCTATGGGACTCTGTCCTATAGGGTTGCTATCAGCCAGAATCGACTGCATGACAATGAGTTTGGTTTTTTGGTTTAGTTCTTAAGTGCATATTAAAAGTTTAAGGATGGGCATACCATAGCATTAACGGAAATCTCAAATCACTCTTTATTATGGTTTGCAACTACAACGAAAAGTTTAGCTTTACCATCACATATTCTTATACCTCAAGACTAAGGAACCCAAAGAATGATATGAAAATGTTGGAAAGCATACAAGAAAATGTAAATTATTATCATTATCATTTGTTGTTATGGGTTCATAGGGGTTGGAGAAGAGGACAACATTTGAGTCTTGAATCTTTCTTTGTTTTATTCTCATTGTCTGAGAAGATATTCATGGGTGAGTGTTGAAGAAATTATTTGGTTATGTATTGTTGCATAATAAAAACCAAACTGATTGCCGTCGATTCTATTCCGACTCATACTGACCCTACAGGACAGGGTAGAACTGCCCCATAGAGTTTCCCAGGAGTGCCTGGTGTATTCGAACTGTGGATCTTTTGGTTAGCAGCTGTAGGTCTTAACCACTACGCTACCAGGGTTTCTGTTGCATAATAAGCCACCCCAAAATGTAGTGGCCTAGAGAAAGAGCTATTTTATTTGCTAGTGATTCTGCAGTCTGAGCTGGCTCCAGCTGGGTGGTTCTTCTGCTGATCTTGCTGCATTCAGCTGGCAGATTGGCTGGGCTCAGCAGAGATACTGGGATGGCTGAGTTTTTCTCTCTACTTAGTCTCAGGGCCTCCCTCCATGTGACCTTTCTACAAGGCCTCTCCAACAGGTAGCTGGAGTTCTCACATGGCAGCTTAGAGAGCCTAAGACACGAAAGCAGAAGCTGCCAGGCCTTCTTACATCTCGGGCTAAGAATTGGCGCACTTCCATCATATTCTTTTGGCTAAGACAAGTCATAGGTCCAGCCTAGATACCAGAGGAGGGCACTACACAAGAGCACGAATACCTGGAGGCATGATCCATTGGAAGCCACCAACATAACATACTACCAGAGCCCTCGTAACATGAGGTGACTATATTTGGGATGTTTATGCAAACAAGTTTGTGTGGGCATTGCAATATTCAAGTGGTTGATTGTGATAGTGCTGAAAGAATTACATTGCATTTATATTTCTAAAGGTATGTGTGGAGTTATGCTGCCATGAGGCCTTCGGTGTGCAACGTGGAAAGCTTCTATTACCTAGCTTTTGTCTTTCCTACTGATTCAAACAGTCATCTTGCTTTAACTTTAATGATAATATCATATTCTGAGTCTTCCAGCTGAAAGACTAGGGTTTCTTTCTGAGACGTGTGTGTATGTGTTTCAGAAGGTGAGTGATGGAAATGGAGAAAAAAAGAAAAGCAAAAAAAAAAAAAAAAAAGAACGGCTTACTGATTTTAAGAGATTTGGGGCAGTATCCAAAATGAAAACTTGTCAGCACAATGTTTCCTACAAGAGGCCTTTAAGATGTTAAGTTTATTTTATCAATTTTAGAGCAATAACCAGATTGAGAAGATCACAGGTCTGGAGGACCTGAAAGCCCTACAGAATCTGGATCTGTCCAGCAATCAGATCAGTAGCCTCCAAGGCTTAGAGAATCACGACCTCTTGGAAGTGCTCAACCTCGAGGATAATAAGGTAATGCCATATTTTACGTTTTGGTTTCAGTGTCTTCGTAAGAGTGAGGCCATATTAGAGACTTAGCACAAACATCCCGTAATTGATTTCTCAAGGGCTGTCACATTAAAGGCCAGTTCAGAAATGTTATTCTAGAAAACCTCTGAGAGCGGTAGTTGCAGAAGGACAGTGTGTGTTTTTTTTTAATAAATGCATACAGTTCTTAGTTTTAAATTTTGGTAATTCCTAATTACATTTGAACATTTGAATGTATCCAAGTGTACATGATTTTCCAAAGTAGATGAGTTTGTGTGAAATTTTGTGTAGAAATTTGGCATTAAGAATGTCTGAAATGTCAGAATAAGGACGTTGGAGACATGAGAGGAGCCTCAAGGTAGTGTTGCCCCATGCCTGCCATTTAAGGGGAGAGATACAGGAAGTGAATTCTTACATCCTATTGGTAAGAATAGTGTGTGTTCCAAGTCTGCATAATGAGTTGTGAATTGGATTTATTCAAATTCTGATATCGGGCTTAATACATGTTTTACTTTCCGAATTACAGTTTTTCACTCTTAATTAAATTTTATTTTTTTTTAATTAAAAAATATTTTATTGTATTTTTGGTGAAATTATATACAGCAAAACAGGTTCCCATCCAACAATTTCTGCACATAATGTTCAATGACATTGTTACATTCTTCACACTGTGTCAACATCCTCATTATTTCTGTTCTAGTTGTTCTACTCGCATTAACGTAATCTCACCGTCCTCCAACCTTTTCATCTATGCTTTAGAGTAACTTTTGTCCATCTGGTTTCATATAGATAATTTTTTAAAAGAGCAGAGTACTCAAGGATGACATTCTTTACTCTTGAGCTAACTGTTGGTTAACAGGTGACTTCAGGGGATAGTTTTGGTTCAGGGTTTAAAGAGTATCTCAGGGCAATAGTCTTGGGAATTCTTCCAGTCTCAAAGGGTTCAATAAGTCTGGATTCTTTGAGGATTCGAAGTTCTGTTCCACGTTTCACCTTTTCTTTCAGGATCTATCTATTGTGACCCTGATTAGAACATTCGGCTGTGGTAGCTGGGCACCATCTAGCTCTGGTCTCAGGGTAGAGGAGGCTGTGGTTCATGGAGACAATTAGTCCTGTAGTCTGGTTCCTTCTCTGATTCTTGGGTTTCCTTCTTTCTCTTTTGCTCCAGATGAATAGAGACCAATAGTTGTATCTTAGATGGCAGCTCACAAGATTTTAAGACCCCAGACACTACTCATCAAACAAGGATGTACAGCATAAACTCTATGAACTATATTATGCCAGTTGACTGAGTTGTCCCACAAGACTATGACTCACACCAAGAAAACTAATCCTGTGAGGTGATTGGTTATGTCTAAGAAGTGTCGACATCTGTAGCCCCTATTTGTTTTAATAAGTGTATATATATAGTTTGTTTGTTGTTGTTACACAATTATATAAAATGTAGCATCCTTTTTCTTGTGTACAACTTAGTGGCATCAGTTACATTATTCAAGCTGTGTACATTTCACCCACATTTAGTACTACCTTTCCCATCATCATAAACATTTTAATAAAGCATTTGTGTTTCTAACCATGGTATAGTAAGTTGGTACCTATAACTGACTTCTTATGCAATAAGGAGTGATTTTATTCATAGGATTACTTTATCACATTTTTTTGGAAATATTTTTAAGGAAGTTGAATGTTTATTTCTTCTCGAAAATTAAAAGTTGGGCTGACGCTGCAAGGGGCAGGGCCTGGAACCAGATGGAGTACTATGAAGACAGTTCTTCATTCAGCTGTGATGGGACTTTTCAGTTCCATCGTTTGTTAGGTTTCTAAAAATTAAGGAAAGTCAGCCGTCAGGTCTGAGAATAAGTGATTTTTCAATCACAGACAAAATGTTCATCCACATTCTCACTTGATTTGAATATTAAATTGTTTCGGCAACTTCTAAAGGTCATTAATTCTAATGGACCACAATTGTTCACTGCGCTGTGTCTTGAGAAGTCAGCACCATGTCTGTTTCATATGGTTTTAGTGTCCTTTCCATGCGATAATCATGGTAGACTGATTTGTATCAATCTCCTACGTAAAACAGTTCTCCCATACATACAGGGAATGTTGGAAAAGTGGAGCACACTCATTTAATCCAAACTCAACATATCTCAGGATTTAGGAAAAGGAGCCGTGGTAATAATAACAGTTATGGTAATAAAATACTCTACAGATAATCTGTTCTAAGCACTTTCCGTATTATCGTCTCGTTTAATCCCCATTAAAACCAAAAGCAAACCCGTTGCCGTCAAGTGGATTCTGACTCACAGCAACCCCGTAGGACAGAGTAGAACTGCCCCATAGAGTTTCCAAGGATTCGAACTGGTGGATTTGAACGGCTGACCTTTTGGTTAGCAGCCAAGCTCGTAACCACTCTGCCACCAGGAATCCTTAATCTCCATTATAACCCTATTATTATCACTGTCGTTAGGGGTGAAGAAACCAGGGCACAGAGAGTTTAAGTAACTTACCCAAGGTTATATAGCTAGCAAATGGCAGAACAAAGATTCAAATATAGAATGGTTTACCTTCAGACTCAATGTTCCTAACGTCTGCAGGGTAATACAGTAGATAAAATTCCAACGGCCCTCTCTTTGGAAAAGTGTGTGGTATAATGCTCTAGAACAGCGTTGCCCTATGGAAATATCATACAAGCCATAAAAAGAGCCACACATGTAATTTTAAATTTTCTAGTAGCCAAAATAAAAAATAAAAGAAACAGGTGATATTAATTTTAATAATGTATTTTATTTAACTCACCATATGCAGAATATTATCATTTAAACATGTAATCTACATAAAAAATTGCCGAGGAGATATTTTACATTCTTTTGTTTCATACTAAGTTTTTGAAATCTGGTGTTTGTTTTAAGGAGCCTTGGTGGTGCACCAATTAAGCATTTGGCTGATAACCGAAAGGCCAGCAGTTCTAACCCATCAGCCACTCTGCAGGAGAAAGATGTGGCAGTGCACTTCCTTAAAGATCACAGCCTTGGAAACCCTGTGGGGCAGTTCTACTCTGTCCTGTAGGGCTGGTATGAGTCGGTATTGACTCGACAGCAATGGGGTTTTTTCTGTGTGTGTGTGTTTCTCACTTACAACACATCTTACTTTGTTCTAGCCACATTTCGATTGTGTTCAATTCCCCCTAAAATCCCTTCTGCTCACATACACAAACAAGTGCTAAGTAGCCACGTGTGACTAGCAGCTACCATACTGGATAGCACAGTTCTAGAAACGTCTCACCAAGAGTATATTGTTCTCTTCTATTTCAAGAAGCTTTTCAAATTACATTTGAAAAAGCTGAAAGAAAAAAACAGTATCATTAAGTGAGAAAAGAATTTATAATTTTCAAATGTTAAAGAGATTCCTTTAAAAAAAAAAAAAACAGTGGCGATGTGTCCCGAAGGGGGAAATCCTTTGACAACAACTGGGTCCATAACGATAACATAATTCCCTGGCTCCCCACTGGGCAGGTTGGGGAGCAACCAACAGTACTTTAAAACATTCTTTGAGCCATCCAAAGAGCTCCTCAGAGATTTCTCCAGCACGACCGAGAATACTGAGTACCAGGGATGGAAAATTTACCATCTGAAAGAAGCATAGCATAGCTATTGGTTCTCATGATTAATTTGCTATTAGGCATGTCGTTTTATGGGTCACACTTTCATCAGTATAATTTACTTGTTTTTAACTGTTGGAGCATCGCAGCACCTACATGTGATCATTTGAACAGCTTGAAGTTCCTTTGCAAATGTTTACCATCTGCTGGGGATTTGGGGACCTTTGTCACTGTCCACTCCATACTCCTTGGTAGATTTGAAGTGACTTCTAGCATTAAAACTTATTCCCCAAATGGTAACTGTATCATAACTTCAGTCATTTCTTCTAAGGAAAGCAGTTTGGCACAGCAGGAAAATATTGGTCTTGGGGTGATTTACAGGGTGCTGATTTATTTCTCTGAGTCCTACTTTCATTATTTGTTCCCAGCTACTTTTCTGAGTTATTGTAAGGGTTAACAAGATAATACTCATAAAGCAATCGTTGTGTGCCTTTGAGTCAGTCCCGACTCGTAGCAGCTCATGTGACAGAGTAGAACTGACCCACAGGGTTTTCTAGGAGGTGTGCTGTACGGGAGCACACTGCCACATCTTTCTCCCAGGGAGCTGCTGGGTGGGTTTGAACCACCAACCTATTGTTGGTAGCTGAGTGCTTAACCGTTGCACTGCCAGGGCTCTTTCATAAAGCAATAACCAAAGCAAACCCACCGCCGCCGAGCTGTTTCCTACTCAGAACAGAGACTGATTTCCGGAAGGAGGTCTGATCACGCCAGCATCTCCCGTGCTCAGCCTGGCCACCTCCACACACTGCCGTGAGCCCTTGGAGGCCCCAGGCACCCCAAGGGATCACCTAGTCTAAGCCCCCTCCTTACAGGTCAACAAACTTAAATCCAGAGAGAAAGCAAGTTCACGTAGAAGCCAGATTGTGTTGAATACCCCTCAAAATCCCTTTTGCTCACATACACAAACAGAAGTACAAACTATGATCCAATGAAGATGGAAGTAATACCCTTACGTTGCTTGTAGATATTAAATGGTATCCATCTCTCCACAGCAATAAGCAAGAAGTCCCCAACAAGGAACTTCCTATCTAAACGGAGCATCACAAAATAAAGAGTAGGATAATGGTCTTTGATGTTTTAGCGTCATAAAACAATACCCATTGCTGTCAAGCAGATCCCAACCCTACAGGACTGAGTAGAAATGCCACATTGAGTTTCCAAGGCTCTAGTCTTTATGGAAGCAGACTGCCACATCTTTCCCCGTGGAGCGGCTGGTGGATTTGAACCATACACCTTCCAGTTAGCATCCAAGCACTTAACCACTGCACCACTAGGGCTCCTCCATAAAGCAATAAAAAAATCCATTGCTGTTGAGTCAATTCCA